TAAATACCATGTGCTCATCATTACCTGAGGGCGTGGAGGGAGTCTGGGGGTTATGGTCGACTCGGTCTGTCGGTCGATTTAAGAGTGGGTTGTTCATGTGGGGGCTTCCCTTTGTTTTGCGCTGAGTGTGTAAAAGAAAAGTTAAACAGTAGGGAAAACATAAAATAGTCAAAACTCTTTAAATCCTCCAAACTTAGAGGCAGTCCTGCAGTTTTGTTCAGCTCTGTGAGGCTGTGCAGTGTGATAGTCTTTAATTACGGTGTCCATATCTGGTGTCGGCTGCTGAAAATCCAAAGGGTAAGAGGAGGCAGGGATGAAAAAGGGGGGGTTAAGTCCATAACGGTATGTACGCATTGAATTTAGGAGGATGGATTAGTCTGTTGTGGCTGTAACGGGCCGGTAAAATAATGGTTGGGAAGGACAGTATCTCTGCCAGCTGTCTGAGGTGTCTCAGGTGGTATTTGGTGCATGGAGTTCCCTCCTTGGTTCCCGTGGAATACATGGAGGGGCATTAGCTGGGTTCCAGATGTGAGTGGTAGCAGCTGACCCACCATTAGCCATTGAGTCCCCTGGGAGCCCCAACGCAGGCAGTTGTCCTTTTGCTCCTTGTATGTCGTGGACTGGGTGTGTGGCATCTCCATGTTGTACCTGCAGTGTGCAGGGTGATCTCCATCTGTATGGGATGTTGTTCGCTCGTAGGAGGGCCGTGAACGAATGGAGAGAGCAGCACCATGCAACTGTGTTCCCCGATAGGTCTGCGTAGAAGGAGAGCACCATGCTCTCAAAGGAATATGGAGAGTGGTTGAGTACCACGTTGAGGACTGCGGTTTTGTCCTTGCTCCTCTGGAACCGGACGATCAGGTCTCGTGGTGCCCAGGCCGGGGCCTCAGTCTGCGTACCAGGTGAGGTAGCGCTGCCTCCGTTGTATCTTCAGGGATCCCTCTGACCTTGAGGTTTAGGCTTCTCCTGTGGTCCTCTGCCGCTGAGAGCCTCAGATCCGATTTGCTTGTTGCTGTGTCAGCTCACATACTGTTTGTTGCAGTAGTGATAGTTGCTTCGCATTTTGGTTGGTGTCTTGTTCCAGTGTGGCCATACGGCCTGTCAGGCCTCTCCGGTCTTGTCGGATTTGGGCCACGTCGGCCTGTAGCGTGTGTTGTGGGCCCGCGAGCAGGTCTTTCAGGACCGCTGTTGTGACTGTGGCCGAGTCTGGTGGTGCAGGTGGTGGCTTGGGGGCCGGTAGTGATAGTACATGGGCCTGGCGCCAGAGGTCCTTTATGTTTTTGCTCGTGCTGGGCTTGTCCGGCTTAGATTTCTTGGTCTTGCGACCCATTGTGTCTTTGCCTCCTGATGTTCCGTTTTGGGCTTGTGTCTAAAGGGTGTTCAGCCCTTTTTTCACCGTTATAGTGGGTTGTTGATGCCGAGCTGTTCAGTGGCTTCCTCTGGATCGTCTTTTATGCACCACAAAGCCAGCATTTTACTCCATCTCTACCCTCTATGCCATTTTACGATACACACCCGATTGGAACACACTACAAACGGGTCTGGGGAAATGGAAGACTAATTTCCATGATATCAAACCTGAGAACATCCTAAACTCACACTACACTCAAAGTCAACTGTTTTAGGGGTGGGCATGGGGAATCTTGTGAAAACTGATGGCAAGATGAATGCAGCATGTTATCAGAAAATACTGGCAGACAATTTGCATTCTTCTGCACGAAGGCTGCACATGGGACGCTCTTAGCAGATAACTTATGGTGGGATTTGTGCCCCATATGAGGTCTGGCGATTGGTAAGCACGTGCTACCTCTCTTCTGTTTCTTTCATTACTTTCCCTTCCTTTCTCCTTTTCTGGCCGCTGTGGGGGATGGGAGGTCAGGGGGGTGGGAGGGAAACCTACATTCTGGGAGACAGTGGGGACTTTAAAAGTCCCTACATTTTTTATTGCTCCATTGGAAGCCGACGTTAGCTTTTTTACTTAACTACAATGACATTATAGATTACATCATTGAACGGTAAGAGTCTAAACAACGCTAGGAGGAGATACCTTATGTTTCAGGAGCTGAAATGGTTGAATTCAGACATAACCTTTCTCCGGGAGATACCTCTCCATGAATGCTGGCATACCACTGAGAGATCACTCATATCAGGCAGCTTACGAAGCTAGATCCCTTCGTAAAATTAATTGGGTGGCTATCCTGATACACAATAGATGTCCATTCCGCCTTACTAGTACTGATTTGGACCCAGAGGGCAGATACGTGATACGTGAGACTTTTGCGATACTCTGACAGCTAAAGTTTGTGCCTTACCGCATGGTATCATCCTGATGGGTGGGGATTTTAATGCTGTGCCATGTCCTGCCGTCGACAGAAGCTCTTGCAGGGGACAATTACTATCGCAGGGCAGGGCAAGCCAAGACAAGTTAGTTCATAAGTTTCTACAAAACACCGGCTCTTAGACGTCTGGCGGGCGCATCAACCCACTGACGCAGACTATACTTTCCACTCGGCACCCCATGACTCGTATTCACGAATAGATTATTTTCTAGTTAACAATCACTGCCAGGCCGGAGTCGTAGGTTCTGCAATTGGATCAATCACTTGGTCGGACCATGCTGATATAGCCCTCAAGTTGGGCAATCTGTGTACAGCCTAGCCATGGTCCTGGAGCTGAACGCATCTTTGTTGCACGACCCTAAAATTGTTATGGCTATCCGCAAAGAATTATAACAATATTTTCTAAAAAAAAAAAAAAAACTATACGGAGAACTCACACGGAGTACAGTTTGGGAACATTTATCTGGCTAACGACCGTCAAAAAGAAACGCAAAACACAACTGCTACACTCCCTATAGCTGCGCAGTCTGGAACAACAACATAAAACAGACCGCACCACGGACATCCTACCTCAACTGAGAGCGGTACGGCCATCTATAAAAGACCTCCTAGTGGAAGACACAGCCAGGAATATTTTATGGTCCAAGAGGACCTTCTACGAGAAGGCCAACAAAATAGATATAATCCTAGTGAGATCACAGAGCTCACAAAAGAGATTGACACACATAACGAGTATTAGACATAGGGACGGGACATTAAAAACCAATCCGAAGGACATTGCGGCAGTATTTAGAGAGTTCTATAAAGATTTGTACACTCACACCCCACAGGGCCAGACTCCCCTTCGTTACGATGATTGGCTCGTTGGTGCCTTTCTTTCTAAATTTAAAGGCTCACTCTAGGGTCAGGAACACAAACATGTATTCCTGACCCTATAGTGTTAAAACCACCATCAAGCCCCACCTGGGCCCCTCATGCCTCCATAAATATAGCAAAATCTTAATGTATTCTAGCCTGAAGCTGTAGATCTGCATGCGGTTTGTTTCAGAAAAAACAAGCTGTCTGCTGACATCATCAGAAGTGGTGGTCTGATCCAATCACAATGCTTCCCAATAGGATTGGCTGAGACTGACAAGGAGGCAGATCAGGGGCAGAGCCAGCACAATTCAAACACAGCCCCGGCCAATCAGCATTTCCTCATAGAGATGACTTGAATCAATGAAGCTCTAAGAGGAAAGTTCAGTGTCTGCATGCAGAGGGAGGAGATACTGAATGTTTGAATGCATTTTAGGCAGCCATGACCCAGTAAGGATCTCTAACAGCCATCTGAGGAGTGGCCAGTGAAGTAATCACTAGGCTGCAATGTAAACACTGCATTTTCTCTGAAAAGACAGTGTTTACAGCAAAAAGCCTGAAGGTAATGATTCTACTCACCAGAACAAATTCAATAAGCTATAGTTGTTCTGGTGACTATAGTGTCCCTTTAAATTACCTAAACTACACCCAGCCGCCGTAGAGATACTTAGCAAAATGATCACTAGTGAGGAGATCAACAATGCGCTCTTGAACCTACAAGGGAACAAGGCACCAGGTCCGGACGGATTTGATGGCGGCTTTTATAAAGTGTTTCGTGAAGATATGACCCCTAGGCTCAAACTGCTCTTTAACGATTTTAGGGAGGGCGGGATCCCCGATAGAGAAATGTCCTTGGCTATGATAGTCCTCATACCAAAGCCGCACAAAGATCACTTATTGCCGGAAATCTACCGCTCCATCCCTTATCAATCATGATTCAAAGATATTGGCCAAGGTTCTAGCAGACAGGTTGAACCCCTTCTTAACCAAATTAAACGATGCCAACCAATTGGGTTTCATACATGGGCAAATTATTTGAGAACACACGCAGAAATATAGACCTGATTTGGAGACAAGTTACCGTCATTCGTTAATAGTTACTCTTGATGCCCAAAAGGCTTTTGATAAGGTCAAATGGCCCTATATTTTTGGCCTTCTTACCTTTCTGGGTTTCTCCCCATCTTATCTCGTCATGATTCGAGCTACATACAACAATGTGACCTTACAGGTTCGAATCGCGGGTGCCCCTACTGTATCCTTCAGGTTGGGAAACGGTACGCGGCAAGGATGGCCGCTCTCCCCTCTGCTATTTGTATTGTCTCTGGAACCCCTCCTACAAGCTATCTGTAAACATCCAGACATTCACAGGGTCTCGTGGGGGGCAAACAGTTTCTGGTTTCTGCTTACGCAGACGATGTCCTTACCGACGCCGCGAGGTCTATGGCATCCCTCCAGGAGCTACTGGCGATGTATGGTACCATCTCAGGCGATAAGGTTAACATGAATAAATCTAGCGGGGAAGTGATTTGTCATGAGTAAATAGGTATAGGAGTTGGGCAGTACAGTGGTTGTGGTATACCTTCACCATTCTACCGTGTTATTTTCCTGGAGGGATGCCATAGACCTCGCGGGGTCGTTAAGTTACCCGTGGCCCTCTCAGAGAGAAATCTGCATACATTTAAAAAATAATAAAAAAGAAAAATGCATTATATATTATAAGTATAGTAAAAATCTGCTAACAATAGAGATATCCATTTAAGGGGTTATATTGGATTGATGGTTTTAACGTGGCATTGAGGTGGCACTTCAAGATGCATTGTTAGGCATCTTGAAGTGAGGCCCTGTGTATCTGCCTCTACTGCCTTTACGTCGAATGTTGCAGAAAAGCGCCTTAATGTCGCCCTTGGTAGATGGCAACTCGTCTTCATCTGAGGAGGGGTGATGAAGCCCCCCTGCATCTGGGATCTCATCCAGCACATCCATAACCCGTTCTGTGGAGGAAGCAGAGAGCGAGTCGCCATTTTCTTTTGGCGCGAAGGTGCCAGAGGCCCTGGAAGGCCGGAGTAGGAGATCTCCAATATCCCGGGATCCCGCTGGTTTGACGGGTCCCTGGCATCTGAACTTCTTCCCCATAAGGTTTGTGCTTATTCTGCTGCAAAAGGAGCGTTTTATATTGCTTTTACAGGCTTGTTGCTGCGGAACTCCCTTCTAGCATGTCTGCTCTGTTCGGCTGCTGACTCCGCCCCCCTTGAATTTGCTTTTAAAGGACCACTATAGTGCCAGGAAAACATACTCGTTTTCCTGGCACTATAGTGCCCTGAGGGTGCCCCCACCCTCAGGGTCCCCCTCCCGCCCAGCTCTGGAAAGGGGAAAGGGGTTAAAACTTACCTTTTTCCAGCGGGGCGGGAGCTCTCTGCCTCCTCTCCTCCTCCGATCTTCCCGCCGAATGCACGCCAAGATTCAGCCGCATAGGAAAGCATTTACAATGCTTTCTATGGACGCTTGCGCTCTCACTGTGAAAATCACAGTGAGAAGCAGCGCCTCTAGTGGCTGTCAATGAGACAGCCACTAGAGGATTAGGGGAAGGCTTAACCCATTGATAAACATAGCAGTTTCTCTGAAACTGCTATGTTTATTTAAAAATGGGTTAACCCTAGAAGGACCTGGCACCCAGACCACTTCATTAAGCTGAAGTGGTCTGGGTGCCTAGAGTGGTCCTTTAACTCAATCTATTGAAGAGAGCTGCAGAAACTGTTGGCACTTTATTAAAAATATAAGCAATATATGGCTTATAAAGCACTGTGAATGTCATGGGATAACTGCCCCTAAATATGCATCTACTTTAAAAAACCACTATAGTTTTTACGACAGTAGGTGTCCCTTTGTCATCGTGCTCCCCCAACCAAGTCATTCAAAGGGTAAAAATGTTTTTAAAAAAATACAATAAATTTTTTAAAACAAATACAGAAGAAAGCATTGAATCAGTGGGGTTTTGCAAGATGCTGGACTTTGCATGAGGATGTCCAGCGTTGTTTCACACAGCAGGAAGCGCCTGTAGTGGGAGACGGCCACTAGAGGCAGTCTTAACTCAGCAATGAAGATGTTGCAGTTTCTCTAAAACTGCAATGTATTCAGCTGTAGGGTTAAGGTGGCAGTGACACTGCGCTCAGAGCACTCCATTGAGATGAAGCGGTCTTGGTGCCTGTAGTGTCCCCTTAGCAAAACCTAAGTGCCTCTATTTATCACCAAGTTAAGTGAAAGAAGTGAATACTTATCAAGCTTGCTCCAAAAAATTGAAAGTCTTAAATATACACATATTTTTTTTTAAATCTTTTTTAAAGCAGATACAAATGTGGATTTCAGTTTCTAAACCTGGATAATGTAAAATATTTTCTGTTTACTTACTGCTTCTCCATGCCCTGGAATTTCTTTCTGCATATAGATAATGACAGTTCAATTCCGACAGGAATTCATTTGCAGTTGAAGGAGAAAACTCAGGCAATATGTGAATAATTGCAGCTCTCTGGGGACTTCCAAAGATAATCTTCCCTTCACAGTGCCGCAAAGTTCCTTTCCATTGGAGGCTGGGTACAATCAGTCTGTCTGTGATGGTTGTAATTGGAACTTGACTTTGATTTCTTAGAAAATGAGCGGCAAATGTCAACCAAATCAGCCTCACAACGATAATGTACTTCACCCCCGAGATGGAGAGTCTTGGTCTGTAAAGGTTTTGATAAAGTTGTCATGGTAATAGGGCACTTTAACAATATGGCTTGACTACAAATTGACTATAAACAAGTGGACAATCGAGCAGTATCTCAGTTATTGTATTATGGATAAGATTGTCACATGTGTTCTGGAGATCAGATTATACCCCCTTGTGTATTGAATTATTTTATTAGTAACTTCTAATTTAACGCAACATTAATAAATACTGATAACTACTAAACACCCGTATTCCTGGAAAGGTTTTATTCTTTCCCCACCCCACAGTTGTTTTTTTTTTTGTTTTTTTTGTGGGGCACGGTTGTGGGTATTTTATCTGCAAGTATAACCTTTATTTTGCTCTATGTTGAGAGGTTGTGAATTGTATCTATTCACACAGCATTACATTTTACTAAAATCTCTAACTCTAGTGTGTCATAGCATCACAGTAGCTATTATGGCAAACTGTGAGGTAATACATGTTGGACCTGCTTGGGGCACTTTCAGTGGAAGAAGAGTCAGGAATGCAATACTCACTATGGTGAAAAGTGTCCCAAATCCACAGTGAATTTCAACTATTAAGGGACACTATAGTCACCCAGGAAAGGATGCATTGCTTTAATGATGTTACAGACTCCCAAAAGTGTGCTAAAAGCTGCTTGACCGGAAGAGAAAATTAGAACAAGGATGATGTTCCATCAAGACACTGCACCCTCTGTCTGGAAAGATTAAAAACAAGCTTGGAAGGCCATGTCAAGAAGGAAGACCGTTTCCTTCAACACTTCCTCAAGTGATTCAGATTTGGATGATTCTAAATCCATCTCCTAAGAATTTAGTTCAGCGTCTGAAATCCCTTTTTACACCCTGACCACATCAAACATCCTCGGTTCTCTGATGGGGTTCCTGCCTCTCATATGAGCAAATTGATGGAGGTGTGGATGAGGAAATCCCTAGACCAGACCAATTATACCGAAAGAGGTGTTACAGACCCTAGAATTGAATCCTCCAATAATAAATTTTTTGTCAAAATCTGGGAAGAATCCTCGCAAAGGAATGGACAGCTCAAAAGAAATGTTACAAGCCCTCTAGCTAACTCAGGAAAAAAGGGTGAGACAGTTGTCACTGGTATTTTAGGTTGCTGAAATCAGTCTGTACTTTGGTCAATGCCAGCTGTGCCATGTTTTGCGAAGGCATTATACAATTATATTATATTTACCTCACGCTATATATAAAGTGTCGACCAATAATACATTATATTTACCTCACGCTATATATATATATATATATAAAGTGTCCACCAATAATACATTCTATTTACCTCACGCTATATATAAAGTGTCCACCAATAATACATTCTATTTACCTCACGCTATATATATATAGTGTCCACCAATAATACATTCTATTTACCTCACGCTATATATAAAGTGTCCACCAATAATACATTATATTTACCTCACGCTATATATAAAGTGTCCACCAATAATACATTCTATTTACCTCACGCTATATATATATAGTGTCCACCAATAATACATTATATTTACCTCACGTTATATATAAAGTGTCGACCAATAATACATTCTATTTACCTCACGCTATATAAAGTGTCCACCAATAATACATTCTATTTACCTCACGTTATATATAAAGTGTCCATCAATAATACATTCTATTTACCTCGCGTTATATATAAAGCGTCCACCAATAATACATTCTATTTACCTCACGTTATATATAAAGTGTCCACCAATAATACATTCTATTTACCTCACGTTATATATATAGTGTCCACCAATAATACATTCTATTTACCTCACGCTATATAAAGTGTCCACCAATAATACATTCTATTTACCTCACGCTATATATAAAGTGTCCACCAATAATACATTCTATTTACCTCACGTTATATATATAGTGTGCACCAATAATACATTATATTTACCTCACGCTATATATAAAGTGTCCACCAATAATACATTATATTTACCTCACGTTATATATATAGTGTGCACCAATAATACATTCTATTTACCTCACGCTATATATAAAGTGTCCACCAATAATACATTCTATTTACCTCACGCTATATATAAAGTGTCCACCAATAATACATTATATTTACCTCACGCTATATAAAGTGTCCACCAATAATACATTCTATTTACCTCACGTTATATATAAAGTGTCCACCAATAATACATTATATTTACCTCACGCTATATAAAGTGTCCACCAATAATACATTCTATTTACCTCACGTTATATATAAAGTGTCCACCAATAATTACAAGACGCTAAGACATACAAGAAACTAACATTTGACCCGGTTAAAAAACAAAGGATTAATCATCTTATTGAAATAGGTCTTCAGGGGAATTATATTGATTCTAATACGGCAAAATATTTACAAGTGGAATTTCCCATCCATCCGGTATTATACACAATACCAAAAATTCATAAATCTGTGCAGGAACCTCCAGGACGCCCTATAGTATCGGCTCGAGGGGGACACCTTGAGCCCATAGCTAAATATGTGGATTTTTATATACAAGGTTGTGTTAAAGAAATACCTTCATGCCTCAGCGACACTCCAGATCTATTACATCAATTAAAAGATTTTAACATGGAAATAAATGCGGAATTTATTTTCGCAACTTTGGACGTACAAAATCTATACACGGTTATACCTATTACGGAAGGAATACAAGCCGTACGTGAAACACTTCTAAACACCACTTCTTACGAAGGACCACCTATAGAATACCTATTGGAATGGCTGACGATAGCTTTGACATGCAATTATTTTAGATTTGAAAATACCTTCTATGTCCAAACGTTTGGGACCGCTATGGGAGCGGCTATGGCACCATCTTATGCCAATATATTCATGGCGTGGTTTGAACGACAACACATTCTATCTAAATATCGGACTCACATATTGAAATACTTTAGGTTTGTGGACGATATTTTGGTATTATGGAAAGGTACAGAAGAGCAACTGAATACTATGGTTACCACTATTAACAATCTACAGACACCTATTAAATTAACTTTGACCACTGACAAGAACACGATCCAATTTTTGGACGTATCTTTATTTAAAACTGAGAAAGGTATTGGATATACTTTATATCGAAAAGATACAGACAGAAATACACTGCTGTCAGCTGCAAGTTTTCATCCCAAACATATGATTGAATCACTACCTATTTCTCAGTTTGTCCGGGTACTACGTTACAATAGTGATCCTCAGAAAAGGGATATACAAGTACAACAGATGAAGCAGAGATTTGCAGCGAGAGGCTATTCGCAACACATTCTTACAATTGCCGAAATGAAGGCAAAACAATGTATTCAAAAACCTGTGATCAAAGACACTCAGGCAGATCGTCTTTTTCTTCCTCTTACCTTTCACACTAATA